AAAGATGTATACGGCATCCAGTTTTGGCATGCCATGAATTTCCGGTACCAGGTGTTGTCCTAATGCACCTGAGGAGATGACAAATGATGTCTCCTCATTGTTTTTCTGGAGCTTCTCAATACACTGCTCGGCCGTGGTGCATGGGTTGACTTCATTAACAACGCCGCGCAATTGCACGAGTGTATTCTGGCAATCTTCATTTGCCATGTCGATATTGCCATCGACCCAGATAACCAGATAATTTTCAGCCATTCGTTGTCGTCGTTGTCTACTCATTTTCGATGTTGTTTTTGACGTTTGCTCGACGATTGAATATTGTGAAGGATCAATTGTTGTTTGGATAGAGACCACTGTTTTCTATTTATATATTCGATAGTGGATGTTTTTTTTCTAGATTATTCTATGACGTCAAATATGGGTGCGTATTTGTTTTTGTTGATACTCAAAGATAAATCCTACCTACTTTCAATTGAAAATATGCTTGTCAAAAGCAAACGAAAGAAAAAACTCCAACAACATCATTTATCTTATCGTTGTTCTTTCCAACTTTCATTGGGTTTTTTTTTATTGACTTTTATTTACCCTATGAACCGAGGCTGACAATGCAAGATAAGAAGAAATTAAGCATAAATAAATAGCATGATAAGAATAAGACAGCAAGAAGAAAGATACAAAGACAATAAGTGGAGGTATAATCATCATAAACTTGTAGGCTAGTGCGATCTTATGTTGGGATGTGTATACCTAGGTAGATGGGTTTCCGAATGTGAGTATCGGTGGATGTGGCTGTGGGTGGATACAGCTGTGGCCGTATGGTGTGAATTGGTGCTGGTGGATGTGGTTGTGGCTGCGGCTCTGGGCGGGCATCGATGTGGGTTGGTACAGCTGTAATTGTGAGTAGTGGATGACTGTGTGGGAGTGTGGCTGTAAATGTGAGAGAGGAAGCGAGTGACATGAACGTGGTTGTGGGTGTCGATGTAGGCGCGGTATGGGTGTAAGTCTTCTCTTCAGCAAACACATGTTCACCTACACCGACATCCACACCCACACGCACATCCCACCATAGGGTGTCGGTGTGGGTGTGGATATGAGTCTTCTCTTCAGCAAGCACGCCCACGTCTACCAACACTCGCACCCAAGCCACGCCCACACTCATACCCACAGCCACACCCGCGTGCCTTCATTCTTCTTCAAGTTAAAAACCTTGTCGATCATGTGAAACAGTAGGATAATGGTTATAGTTAGCGTGAAGGATGTTAGGCCTCTTCACCCCCTCATGTCAGGACGGATAGTATCTCCTTGTAATTTGTATTTTGAAAATTTCCAATCACTTCGAACGAGCCATTAATTTTACTTTTAATCTTATTTCGAAGGGTACTCTTGTACGACTCACTTCATTCTAGCTCTTTGATCATTAGTAAGCCGACTACAGACTAGCATTCGACAATGTTAACATCAAAAGTACTGAAGAAAGAAGTTCTCCAACGGATGCACGCCGTTTTTGTTGATATTTTGCCCATATGTATGGTTTGATGACATTAGAAAAAAGGCTAAAAGATAACGGCGCATAAGCTTTCGTTTTCGAGTGATGATCATTTTACTTGGTTTATCACCTATGACAAGGGATTCAGTGAAAAATCAGCTTTTATGCACATGCAGATCTTATGGCCTATATATTAGGCTCAAGGTTGCAGCCAAAACAAATGCTTCTGTCGTGAAATATTGATTTTTTCATAGAAGTCGATTTTCCTGACATGTATGTAGCATGTTAATGTTTTCTTGATAACGCAATATTTCGAGAAAGAGGCGTTTGTTTTTACTGGAACTTTTAGGCTAATATATTGGCCATAGGACTTGCATGCGGACAAAATTTCAGATCGACATTTCTCAATTTGATTTTTCGCTGAATCCCTTGTGCTAGGTGGTAAACTAAGTAAAATGATCATAACTTGAGAAGGAAAGCTTATGGACTGTTATTCTTTTAAGTTTTTTCCAATCTCATCGAACCCTACATATACGCAAAATATCAACAGAAACGGTATGGATTATTTGGGGACTTTTACTTGAGAGCCTGGTACTATTACGAGCTCTTCTCAAAGATTCGCATCGGTTCGAGAAATGAATTTTCCAAAAGTTTTATTTTTATGCTCTTTGATCACCAATTAGTTAAGAAGCCTACAGTGGATATATTATGTATTCAAACAGGCTCGACAAGACACCATGAACCCTTGTTTTGTTTTTTAACAATGATACAGTATGTCGGTTGTATCACAGGAATTAATCGCAGAAGGAGAGAAAAAAGTTGGTTGGTGCACATGCTTTTATTCTTTTTTCGCGGAAAGTCGATGACTTTGCACACAACATACTTGAATAGCAGTCTTCACTTGCATAATAAATATTTGATAAGAAAATGAAGAACGGAGCACTTTATTAGCTGTCATTAGTGGGTTTTATCCAACTTATAAGTAGAATAACACAAAGTCAATACGCAGGTGAAGTAACGCTGAATCAGCAAGCGTTGATGGTTGTTACAGTGGGGAGCCAGGCGGACATGTGCGAAAATATTCTTTTATAGAATCTAGCGATTTGCGTAGATACATGGATATGTGATCTATCATTTCCTAAAATAGTGGTTCTCAAAGTTTTAAAAAGCCCAAGGAAAGAGCTCGCTAAGGCTTGCGCCCCAGAAATCAGCATAAATAAAGAAAATCAAGCTGCTAGGCAATATGAAACAATATCACAAAAAGCTTCCTCATGGGTAGACCTTATATTTAAAAAAAGTGATCCAAATTTAATTTAAAATAGAGTAGAAGAGAAAGGATCTCGAGATCCAAAACCTATCTAAAAACATATCGCTCCATATATTGTAAGCACTACAAAGAGAAAACGTCGAATCGAGCGCGCATTTTTACCAGACGTTCTTACATATGTAACCTACTTATGATAGTGGCGCAAACTTATGAAACCTTTCCTAAGCTATTTTACAGTAGGATATCCAATTTTTGGCACTGATATTACTCTTTGAAGAAAAACTATGGTGATATTCGGAATGGATGCATTACACTATTTCGAGTGATTTGTAGCTCAACATATTTTTCAAAACAAATTATTTTCGGAAAATTATGGCTGAGGTACTACTCCCCAGCCAGATTTTGCCGTAAATTTTTTTCTTAAAAACTTTCTGTTTTCTTAAAGATGATTCTCTGAATGATGTATGGTTATTTCTAAGCAAATGAAAAGCCATTTCTGGACAAAAAAATCGTATGTTCGCCTGCTTATGCGAAAACTCCCCACTGTGCTACAGGTACTCAAGGACTATTATATAGAAGTGTCCTCAAATCCTAAAGCCCTATCCTGCAACGATAACCGTAAGCGGGTGTATCATAGATTCAGCTCAGTTTGCTAAGCTAGAACTAGTCAGCCAGCTTTGTTCGCATGAACTGGATCTGTTGCACACTTAATGATCAATGGGTCTTTAACTACAGAAGAGCTCAAAGTTTACCCAAATTTTCAAACATTTTCTCCGTCGCATATACTACTGTGTATCGAAGATACTCTATCACGCGACTCAATTACCTTCAGCTAACAAAAAAGCTTACTCTTACTTGCTAAAGCAAAATTCAAGTACACGTTTCTTACATTACTCATGAACCTAATATTTCCTAACGCATTCAAGATCAGCTAATATGTGGCGTATAAGTGAGGTTCTTACCAATTCTTTAGAAAATGCCTAAAAGACCATGAAAACTTAGGATGACCCCAATGTACTCTCTCCAATTAGTTCTAATTAGTTGGGTACTAATCAATTAACCAACTTACAATCACATAATATGCTCATAGCCTATGGCTGCAGTTGATAGAATCCTACTATGTGCTGTTAGGTATAAAAATGGACTGGCGTGAAGCGAACTCGAAATTTAGAATTTACGCACTGTGAGGCTCACCTGGTCGACCACATTTATATATATAGGAGTATCATTAGAAATATGGCCCTGACATTCTACTCGATGTATTTATGCTTGTTAAATGAACTTATAGATTAAATCGTGAATGAGAAATGATTAACATCAAGAAACAATGAAAACACGTTATAATCAGCATAAAAAATACGTCGTGATAAACTTTGTTGAGAAAAGTTGATTGAGCCAGCCATAATTTTTCTTAGATATTTTCACATAGAAGATGGAGTTTTTTACGGGCTATCTTTTGATATCATAAAATTCCTGAGGAATCCCATTTTTTAGTTCAAAGGTCAAAATACTTTTAAAAAACGCAAAAAAAAACATGAAAAACCATGGTAGGAAAAACCATACATTTCTTCATTAAAAAATCATCGTATTAACCCTTTTTTTCCTATAAAATGATGCTTGTGTGAAATCGACAGAAAAAGAGATGCTCTTCCTTTTGACAACAATCAATACTATATTAATTCGTGGAATAATGCTTTAGTTTTACAATATATTAAAAAGTACCAAAAATAAAAATTATCATTTTGCATTATAACTCTATAAGGCCTGTTACCATGACATACGTCATAATTCAATGAATCATTATCAGATCGAGTTAATATTTCGGACTTAGTAATATCTATATATGACCTTTATTTTCAGATAATTAAATCCAAAATCAAAAATTCTACTCTAGCCATGTTGTCTGGTGTTCTAGTAGACCCTCTGCTAATACTCATAAAGTAAATTAGAAAAACAAATAAAAAGTAATCATTTGAATAGACTGTAGCGTACAACTTGCATGGTCTGTTTTTTTTTGTCTTAAGTTTCACTTCATACCATATGAGGTTCAATGTCTTAGTAGAGAGATCTACGTTTGCAGTCAAGCACCGTCAGAAGTCAGAGAAGTATGGCATTGTATCTAAGTTTCTTACATCGAACCTAAACTATTGGTATTATTCAACCAATGATTCCGATTCCAATGTAGATAAGAATTTCGATGCTGTTGCTGAATATATCCGATGGATCGACTAATGGAAAAATAAGTTGAAATCAAGAGGTATTCTAAATAGAAGAAAACGATTTCAATGAAATGAAGAAGAGAGAAAAAAGACAAACTTCTTCACCAGCTATTTTCATACCATCTTTTACATTAGTAAAAATAGTAGGTCGAATAAAATAACCTTTATCACCAACTTTTTTACCCAATCGAATACATTCAAGAATTGTCTCTAATTGAGTATGGCTATTTTGTAAAATACACAAAAGAAATCAATGCTAATCTGTTATCTTATCAAATTGTTTTCTGAATCCTCAATCAGTATGTTTTTTCCACAGTTTAGATTATGACACTTTGCTTGAAATGCTTTCCTATACCTATGGTCCTAGTTCAGTTGTAGAATCAAATGGATCACCAACAACGCGTTTCTTTGTTAATTCGACACTTTTAGGCACAAAGGCATCGTGAAGTGTGGAATGAACAAATATTCTTGATGCAGCAAAACATACTTGACCTGCATGAGTGAAAACTGCTCTATGAGCAGTTCGAACAGGAGCATCGACTAAAACATTGCAAAGCAAATTAATTCTACCGTTTATAAACCTTTTTCATCATTACCCAGTCAGACAAAAATTTTGAAAAACGCGTTTAAACGCACAAACGGGAACCGCGATTGTGAGCCATTAACACCCATTAAAAAACGCATGAAAACGCGTGTATTGGCGTTTTTTGTAACTTTTTGGGCGTCAAAACGGCGAAATTTCAGTTTTTGAGCGTTAAAACGCGCTATTATTCTAGGATTTAAAAACAAGGCATTTTAACGTTCAAAAACTGAAATTTTCGCCGTTTTGACGCCCGAAAAGTTACAAAAAACGCCAATACACGCGTTTTCGTGTGTTTTTTTAATGGACGTTAATGACTCACAATCACGGTTCCCGTTTGTGCGTTTAAACGCGTTTTTCAAAATTTTTGTCTGACAGGGTAGGAAGCAGAAGGAAAATGAAAGTAATAGAATTATTTAATATATACGATCAGTATCTTTACAAATAATAAATGATGATTTACTACCTATATGTGATGAAAAAGACAACAAAGCAGACAGGTAAGAAAAATTATTTTACTAACTAAGTTCCAATGAAACACGCTTGACAGTAGTTTTTCCGGCAGTTTCTTGAATCTTTTTCCCAACCTAAAACAAAATATCATGTGCTTTTGTTATTTTGTCTTTCATCTACACTAATTTTGCCTTGAGTAAACCTGTAAAAGCTATTTTATTAATCTTTTCATCCATGACCACAGTTAGGTCTATGACTTACATATGTATATCATTATAAGAATTGTTTTCATTCTGGTGATGTGTATTACCTGGTATACTGTTAACAATACCTGATGAAAAACCAGCCTAGATTATTGATTTAGTATTAGAATAAATTTCGATTGTTCATAGATGTTGAATAACACTTCTTTGATGGCAGAAGGATAAAAGAGTGTAGTAAGTGATGTTTGTTCAGCTGGTTTGAGAATAACTACATTGCCTATTTGTTATTGCAATATATAAGAAAATGTAAATTAATAGAAGTAATGAAGTTACCACAAACTAATGCTGATCCAAGTTTCAAGGCCAACATAATAGTCTAAAATATAATGACAACAATACTTTTGTATGATGCATATGTAAGAAAGAATATCGTACTGAATAATCACTGAAAGAAGGAAGTACAATTTGAATTTTCATTTATTGAATGTTTGAACTGACCATAAAATGATTTGTCCATAGATCCCAACTGATTCATGTCTAATATAGGTAATAAAAATACTTGATTCTGATGGAAGTGTTTCATCAGTGATTTTAGCAGCCCATCCAGCATCTGCAACATGTGAATATCATCGATAATAAAAAAAAAAGAGAATGTCAGAGAGGTTTACAACAATCAAGACAAACAGCTGCTCCAAGAATCTCGCAATAACTCTCTTCTAGCAGTTTTTCACTACTCAGTATTTCTAATATCTGAATATTCACTTATGATGTGGATGCAAACAAACAGAGCGAACATTTTTACTGCTAAATAATCTACAACACGTAGAAGTAAATCAGCAAGTTTACAAATTAACTAAGCACGTGCAGCAGGATCAAACTTACGCCATGGTGAATCATACTGGAAACGTTTTTCAGCAGTTTCAATTGTTTTATCAAGATCACTCTACAGTATTGAAAACAATAAAAATTACACGTAGAATGAAAATCATCATGTATATATGTATATATTGATACTTTTGTGCCTTCTTCTACTTGACAAACTACTTCATCTGTACTTGGATTAATGATAGAGAACGGATTCATTTTTGTCTACATGATTGACCTTGATTTATCACATAAGAAGAATAGAAAGAATGAACATATATTAGCTCGTTCCTTTATCCACTTATATTCTTTGCTGTTTCAGTTGCAGATGATGTCTTCAATCTTAATGAATGATTCAACTTATGAAACCAATTTGGTTAAGAGAAAACAAAAATTTGATAAGGTAGCACACCTGAGTATTGTAACAAGTCTTCGTATCAATGTGGTATTTTTTAAAACTTGTCTTATCGATTGGACTTTGCGACAAGTGAAGAACAATTTTTCTAATGATATATGTGTTTGATATTGCACTTCATTATAGAACTATTTTACTAACAGGTGCAAATCAGATCGTCCTTAGTATATTCAAAACCATATTCTTTTGATGTGATTCTATTACTAAAGATCTTATCAGTTCGTTTAATGTGAAACACTCAATATATGAAGGAAGACTTCCAGAACGAAATTGCCACGATGGAAAGAAGGAAGTTTTAGAATAGCGAAGATTTCAAGTGAATAGATCTAATTTTCATAACTGTACGCAGGATTTCGAAAGCAGTGTAAATAACAAACTAAAGCATTCTCTTCACCAATATCATATATCTACGTACGTGATTCCAGCTAATAAATTAACATTTTTACAAGAAAATTATTGTTACTGTTCAAAATTGATGTCACTTAGATCATAAAGAACAGGAACAATCAAAGAATTTATCATATATAAAAACTTCTTTAAATTCACTGTATATATAATCAATACGTAATGTTTTACGATAGCAGAAAAGAATCGATCACACTTTTCCTTCTTCAATAATCAATTTGTTTCTTTGTATTGTATTTCTTTAAAGTTTTTTAAATAATAAAATTTTAAATGTTATTAATTATATATCTTAAATTGAAACTAGATTATGATCATTCATACAAGTTATTACCGTAATTGCGAGTTGTTTCAACTGATTGCTCGTAGTATTCTATTCTTTGCACTTAAATATTTTATTTAAATTAGTTGTACGTATTAGTGAGACTTTCGCAATACATGGAAGAGTTTAGAGAGCAAACTACATAAATGTTAGAAAGTTAAACAAGCAAATCCAAATAGCTGTTCTTCATGAAAAATTTGTATTGTTTTTCCTCAAACAAGTTTAACAACAATTATTTTTACTTGATAGTATGCTTTGAGACCATATCGACCTAATTCTCTTTCCTGATCTGATTGTTTAAAGCCACCAAATAGTGCTTGATTACATAGAGCCTTATAAGTATTTATCCAAACAGGGCCAGGTTATATTTGGTGAGCCAACGTAAGACCACGTCTCACTGAAAAACTAGAATAATCATCAATAATCATTTCTTTCAAATTTACTGTCTCCAGTTATTACTCCAGTACCAAGTCCAAAAGTCGTGTCGTTTGCTCGTTTGATAACTTCTTCGTATGAATCATACTTTAAGACTGACATTACTGGACCAAATATCTAAACTTTTACATTACCCAGGTCAATCAATCCGACACGGATCCGATGGTATCTTATAGGATCCAACGAGTCCTACAAAATCCGATCGGAATCCGGGTCACAATCCGACGAACAAATCCTAGTGTTGGAATCCGAGAGACATCCGATCGGATCCGAGAGACATCCGATCGGATCCGACAGAGATCCGATCAAATTCAACAGTCGGATTCGATAGGAACTCCAGCAGTCGGATTCCGACGAGATTCCTATAGTATCCTATCGGATTCCGATCGGATTCCAATACTATGGATCCGTTAGCCGGATCGTGACCCGGATCCAATAAAATCCTATAGGATCTGGATAGGATTCGATAGGATCCGATGGGATCCACTGTCGGATTGTTCGTCCTGGGTATTATAGAATCTAATCAAAAAAAAATGTTACACCTCCTCACGAGTAATTTGCATATCATCTTTTACATCACTAAAAATAGTTGCTTTGATAAAATAATCTTTATTATCAACTCGTTCACTACCACATTCTAATTTATCTCCAAACTTTTAACCTGATTCTATAAAATCCAAAATCTATTGAAAATGACCATCATTTATCTATCATACACAATTAAAGGGAACTTTTCTTTAGATTAAAGAGGTTATTACTTGTGATCCTTGTTCAGTATTAGAATCAATTTGATTATTTAAAAGTTTTATAGAATACTTATCCTCACCCTTAGATGATCAAAGGAGATTTTCCACCGATATGTAAAAAGGGAATAGCGCAGGTGAAAATTATCCTGTATTTATTACTGACCAAGTTCAAGTGTAACACATTTAAGATTTGATATAGTTGCTGCTTCTTGTATTTTCTTTCCAACCTCCAATCAAACATTTCACATTCATTTTTTTTTAGTTTTATTAGTGAATGTTTTTATTTCAACTGACCCAGTACAAGCTACTTTATCGATATGTGCATGAACAGCACTTGCATAACCACATTCAGGCCCATCACCTAAATATTCTTATGAAATTATTATGACAAATATCATTCACTTTACCTGGTATGATGTTGATAACACCTGATGGCAAGCCAGCCTAGATCATCATGACAACAACAAAGTATAATCGACATGATAATATCTTACCTGTTTGGTAAGAGTAGCACAATAAAGTGCACTAAGTGGTGTTTGTTCAGCTAATTTCAATACAGTCATATTACCTATTTAAAACTTTGATAAAAAGTCACGCGAAAAAATAACATCTTCACTTACCACAAGCTAATGCTGGCCCTAGTTTCCAAGCCAACATCAGAATCTAAATTTAATGAAATAAGCTATATCCGTATTATAAAAGAACAAAACACATACAGGTGAATTCCTGCAAAAGAAGTCGAGTTTATATCTATAGAATCGCAAATGAAATTTATCATGGAATGATTTGTCCACAAACACCAATTGGTTCATGTCAAGTATATATAAATTGATCATTTGATCCAGGAATGGTTTCACCAATAATTTTATCAACTCATTCAGCATCTATATTTTCATTAAATATTATCTTTACAATACAAGAATCAGATATATATACAATAATCAATACAATCAACTGAGAAAAATATTTCACCTTTAGTCTGTTCTACTAGTTTACCATTGTTAAGTGTTTCCACTTTCTACACATTGACTTATGTTGAGAGAAAGACAGAGGATCTAATTTATGCCATGGTGATTCAATATCAAAAGCTGTTTGAGCACCTTCAACTGCTTTATCAACATCAGCCTGAAAATCACAATAGATGATGAACCAATGAAGAACATATAGAGATTCATACTCTAGTGCCTTCTTCTACTTGACAGATTTCTTCTCCTATACTTGGATTGATGCGAGAAAAAGTTTTTCCATTTGTTGCTTTATGCCATTCATTGTTGATACAGATTTGAGTATATTAACTTCAACATTCGAAGCTATTCAATCAGCCGATGACATCTGAAAAATAAGAGAAAAGACCTGAACAAAAAAACGGTGTTTTGGTCGGCAACAAGTATGATAATGATAGTGTCATCGTCATTTATCTAAGCAAACACACACTTATATATCCCACTCGCTCTCTTTTATACGTACACAAACATATACCCACTTTTTGTTTGTTCTCTTATTTTCTTAGGGCGAAAGAGAACAAACGCCAGATAAAAGAAAAAGTAGATTTTCTTCTTGCCAATATAAAAATGTAGGTTGCATCAATGACAGAACACAAACAAAATATAACGTACAAAATCATGTTTTTGTCAACAAAGAAAATGAGCAGTACATAAACAGTCATGATTTTGAATAGAGAAAAAAAAATCTTAGAGAAACGCTGGAACTTCTCTGATACCAAGTGGTCATTTCGTCACATGATAATTTTTCTAATCGATCAGGACAAGATCTCATAGAGTTGATTAACATCAGTTCCCTCTCCGTTTCTCTCAGCGATTACCTAATCATCAGACCATTTGGTTACAAGACGTTTCTCAATATGAGAAACATACAACGATTTTTTATTTTCTATTGTCAGTCCAAAACATCAGATAGTTGTCGAGAAAATCTTAATCAATCTTTTATTTTTCGAAGTTCATTCAATGACTTTTCAAGATGTATCTGATTAAGCACAAATTAAGATATTCATTGATATCTCTATTCGAATTTACTAGATAAAGATTCAATCTCCAATGACGAGTAATCTCCTATCTGAACTAAAGATAATCTTTTCTTATTAGTTGATTTAATTTACAGTCTATCAGAATATGAAGAGTTCTTCTTAGAAAAGTACAAGTCTAGACTATCGGAATAAGATATTCAATGAACATAAATTACAAATTGAAGAGTCAAATAGTTTTTCCCTTCTTCTTAACAAAAGGCTTCATTTCAGTTATTCCTTCAATGAATAAAAAGAATCAACCTGTTCTATTTATTGTTTTGACATTATTCAAATCAAATGCAATAACATTTGCTAGAAAAAAAACTAATAAATATCGAAATAATTCAATCATCCAAGCAAAGTGAGAGAAAAAAAGATGTTTATATATGAGTGTCAAAAAGAGATTACTAGAAGAAACGAATGTTTATTATGAATTCAATTCTATTATTTCAATGAAAAATATATCGAACTAACTAACAATTTGATTTATCATTTGTTTTTGGTTGAAAATTTTCCTCACTTTTATGTTTTCACGAGAAGAAAGCAAAGAAATAGCTACATTGAAAGAGTTATTATTTTGCCATGCATTTTAGTTGATATTGCAACACCATTGTTTGATATCACTAATGGTATATTCATTATTTAATTTTCCACATCAATTTTGAAAGACTTCTAACAAATGCTCCGTATTAGCCGATAAGAATTGTCTCAATGGTTATCGATGTTATATTGTCAAGGTCGTTCGTTGTAGACACATTTTCTTAATAGTCGGTATGATGGGGTACAAACTTTTCTGCTGTTATTTTTCCCACGATGACTAACTGTCCAACGGTACAAAATAAGACAAATTCCTGATGGAAATTGACTTTTGCTATCGAGTAAAATAAAAATGTTATTTTCTGTTTAAAATGTAAAATATTGGACGCACAAAAAAATCATTATTGACTCAGACAAACTTATTGCGAAAGCGAAAATTTATTAGTGATTTTTTTTTTGATAAATGATGTGCTTTTTCCTAAAACATGTTTCAATCAAGCGAAATGAAAATAAACTACTTCTTTCGAAATTTCTTACTTAAATCTTGTGATGGACTGTAACAAAAATAAGAAGTATTCCCATTGGATATTTGAAATGATTCGATCATATTTCACATTTTAATCTCGCATAAATTGTGCTCAAAGATTTTTTTTTGTCCGATTCGTGCCATTTCCACATAAAATGGTAATAGATTTAAGAAAAGCTCATGACAATTCAATTTTATTTATCTTTTCATTTTTTAGTAGTAAAAGTAAAAAGTTTACAAAAATGCTTATTTCTATCTCTTATTCTGCCGAAAAACGTTAGTTGTGCAGCAGAATATTACGATAATTGAGTGTTAGAAAATGGCTCATGTGATTCTCACATAGTGCTAATATATGATTAAATACACTTTTATCTCCTGTTCTCAAGTGTGAAACTCTCTAGTTTCTATCAAAACTGATTCGAAAAATATCTATTCTTCTTCTAAGTTGAAACGAAAAATAATTTTGCTTTCCAAAAGCTAATTTTTCGGAGAAAGAACGATTGAAATCAATACATCTTATGTAGAAAAAATTTTGATTTTTGTATAGATATTGATATAAGATTGAGTTTTTTTCAAGACTTATTTGACATGATAAAATTTACAGGCAGTCAAAGCATTGGAGCTGATGTATATTTTTTATATGTAAAATGTGCGAGACTAAAAACATTTTGACGTATCGAATATTTCAACATATTAATAAAAATGTCTCATCAATATGATCTATCGCAAACAATATGTGAGTGACGAATACCATTTGAACGAATTTTGATTGTCAGATAATTAAAATCAAAATATTCAATGACAAGCAAAGAATAGAAAAGCAAAAA